GCCAAAACTAACTTTCCTTTACAATTACCACAACTACATTCTGCTTGACAGATGAATCACCACAAAGTTGAAAGGTTTGTTTGTTTGTTTGTTGAATTTCGCGCAAAGCTACTCTGCGCTATTAGTCCCCAATTTTGAAGTGATAAACTAATCAACATCACCCACCGCCAAATCTTGAGGCACTCTTTTACCACCACCCCCCCCCCAGTGGCACAGTGGTATGTCTGCGGACTTATAACGCTAGAATCCGGGTTTCGATACCCGTGGTGGGCAGAGCACAGATAGCCCATTGTGTAGCTTTGTGCTTAATTACAAACAAACAAACAAACAAACTCTTTTATCAACGAATAATTAGATTGACCGTTACATTATAATATCCCCACAGCTGAAAAGGCGAACATATTCGGTGAGAGAGGTTCGAACCCACGACTCGCAGATCGCAAGTCGAGCACCCCTAAACACCAGACCGTGCCAGGGCCCAACCCGGAAGAAAGATCCTTCAATTAAAGCCGTAGAGCCCGTCTCCTCTCCACCATCTACAAATACCTTTTATATATACAACCTTGTTATAAACAGGTACTCAAAGAAACTAGATTCGTCTTTTAGGTACACATATATAAATCTTTAGGGATGTTTGAAATGAAATAAGAATATTATTAATTATAGTTCGTGGTAACAAAACTAGAAACTGCATTCTCATTTGTTCAATAAAAAACACAAATTTTCACTTCCCATCTAACATTTCAAAAAATAGTTTTTCAAGAGATTTACATTTCGGATACAGCGGTTGAGATAAAACTTATCGCAAGGTATTACGAGTTTACTTTCTAATCAAACCAGCTATAAAAGTTTAAATGTCTTAAAACAACCTTGGTTGATTAAACTCTAGCTAGGGTTCTCTGCTTTTCATACGCTCTAGGAGCTATGAGTATTCCTAACTAGTAAACTACGCCATGCTCGGTGCTTTCTACGCTACAATGTAGCAATGACGTGTTTTTACGTTTAGTGAACCTACTGAACTAAATAATCATTTTCAAAATACAATAACTGAAACTTTTACAGTGGTAAGTTCTGATTTTAATATTCACAACGTTTCGACCCCTAGTTTCGGGTCATCGTGTGTGTGTGTGTGTGG